GGCTGGGCATGGTGGCTCACCTATAATCCTAGCACTTTGGGAGGCTAGGAAGGAGGATCGCTTGAGGCCATGAGTTCAAGACCAACTTGAGCAACATAGTGAGACCCTGTCTCTACAGAAAATAAAAAGTTAGCCAAGGTGGTAGCATGCACCTATAGTCCCAGCTCTTCCGGAGGCTGAGGCAGGAAGATCACTTGAGCCCAGGAGTTCAAGGCTGCAGTGAGCTATGATCGCACCACTATATTCCAGCCTGAGCGATAGAGCAAGACCCCATCTCTTTAAAACAAAAATTTTGTTAAATATATAGATCAATCATGACAACTTTGGGTCAGAGTCTTTGGATTGACTCTAAAAAAAAAATAATAACAAGAGCCGTTTGCTTAATCTGGAGAGACTCTGGGTTACTAGCCGTAGTTCTTACCATGAGTTAGGCTCCGGTATAACGTTAATGTTCAAGCTGATGACAATTTTTACTAAATTGTTCTTATTCTCATCCTTAGGGGAAAAAAGCCAGGAGCTCACTGTATTACCTGGTAAATCATCTTTTACTTACTCTCTGAGACTAGCTACAGGTTAGGAGGAGATAGGAGGACTCCTAGGATTAAGAACATTACCTGAGCCTGGAGAGTTGAGGAATGCGCTGAGCAGAACACAGGGACTGCGTTTACTGAGTGCTGTTTATGTTGCGTACGGTGCAGCAAGCACTCCTGTGCAGAATTTCCTTTAGTCCTCACTCACTCACTCCAAACCTACAAGGTAAGTATTTCTTTTGCAAAATGAGCATTTGAAGTTCAGAGGGATTAAGTAGCCTGCCCAGAGTCATAGAGCTAATAACTGTAATGACAGCAGAGCTAAACCAAGCAGAGACTTAAACCTGGTACGGTTTCATTTAAAAACCAACGTACTAGGACTGCTTAGGAAGAATAAGGTTAGAGAGGTGTAGGGGCTAGATCACAGAAGGTCTTGAAGTCCAGGCTAAGGAGTTTGGACTTTTTCTCATGGGAGAGTGAAGAGCCATTGAAAGGAATTTTGTTGTTGCC